AGAACTTACCTAGTGCTGCACCCTCTACCATTGTTGTCATCTATTCTCCCAGCATCTGTATATCCCCAAACGTTTTGTTAGCATTTTCAGCGAGAAGCGCTATTAACAGCGCAGTGCTACAATTCCTCAAAATTCCAGGTTAAGACGATCCACGGGTAGGTTTTTTGAAGTCTCCATGGAAGCAAAATTACGTTGCATAAATGAAATCAAACCAACTTAATTAAGTGAAAGGAGATTGAACCATAATCGAAGACCACACTATTTTGGCCTTCATTTCTACTACAAATTCTATGCTCATATGACCGGTTTTTTGCCTCTCCTACCTTCACTGGGCCATTGGATGGAAGGAGTAGGTCATGTCGGTACGAGGCGTTTACTCCACTCACCTTTAGACGATGTTTGCAGCCATGCGTCAGGTGCCGCAATCTGATCGAGTCCTTCTGCCGCCTAGCAGAAGCTCCGTCGGCATCGAGGTCCCTTTTCTCAATTCCAGAATAAGTCTCTTCCTCCAAATGACCCTCACTGTTGTTCAGCTCCACATCAACTTCAAGGTCATCCATGTTGCCTTCATCCTCCTCTAGTACCTCTTCTTCATCCTCTTCTCCTTCACCTCCCTCCCCTTCCTCGAACTCTTCCCTTTCTGCCACCACCCCATCTTCCACCTCTCCCAGCTCTCCTTCATCTTCTTCCAGGGTTTCCTCCATATTTTTCCCTTCAACTTCTTCCTTTTGACTGCCTGCATTACCTGCAGCCAATCGGTGCTCTCTCTTGCACCTTTTAAATGTGCCGGCTAAAGTCCTCTTCTCTCCTTCCTCATTCTCTTGTATGGAATCTAATACCGACTTTTCCATTTCTGCCTCAGTATGTCCTCTTTCATCATATTCCTCATCCTCTTCTTCCTCCTCCACTTCCTCCCCATCCTCTTCCTCTTCCTCCTCTTCCTCTTCCTCTTCCTCTACTGCTCGCCCAAGGTCCTGATGCGACTTCTGCTCCTCCCTCTCTTCCTTTATTTTCTCTCTTTTTTCCCCTTCTTTCTTCCTTCCTAGCGCCTGTCCGTCGGATGGCATTGCCGATAAAACAGCTTTCTGCTCAGCAGAGGCCTGGCGTCGACATCTTGTTCGTCTCATTTTGCCCGGCCTTCTTGGCAGCTGGAGCATAGTGACAGAACAATCTGCCGTCGAGACAGGCTGTAGAAGTCGGTTCTCGAGAGAAATTGATGTCGTAATTCTAGCAAAGATGTGCTCGTTTAAGCTGAAGGTCTCTTGATCGCTCTCATTTGTCTCCTTCGTCACCATAGTGACATTCTTTTCACCTTCCCTCTCGTCTTGGCCAGTGCTCTTCACATCCAGACGGTCGTTGCTGGGCCCGCAATTGACCATGGCAACCGGTGGCAGACGAAACTTGGTATCATCTTGCTCCAGACAAGGTCGGTCCGAACCAATCAGTTGCATTCCGCAGACGGATGGCAGAGCGAAGTTTAGTGGCCTGCCAGGCTCATACTTGAATGCCTGGAATTTTGGAGGCGTCAGTTGACTCGGTGAATGCGGCAGTCGTCCAACGAAATCGGATAGCAGGACTGGAGAAGAGCCAGACTTCACAAGAAGGCCGTCGTTCAGCTCGGGGACATCCAATGAACAGTTGCAAAATTCGTGGCAACCTGGAGTTAGGAGTTGATTTAACGTTGTTGAAAAATAAGAAGCATACATATTTAATTAAAGTATAAACGAATTTAGGTGAATTCAAGTAAAAAATACGGCAGTAATGCAAAGAAGCATTTTTGTGAAATTTAATTATTTTAAAAATGACGTTTGTAAGTTGTATTCATATCGAGTAGGTTACGATATTACTGGTAGATCTTAAAAAAAACTCAATTTACCCTAAATCTCATACGGTCATGTTGGACTGATAGTTGAATTCGCTCAGATACAAGCAGTCCTCATTATTTCAATGAATTTCACATGGACTTGCTTATCAAAGGTATTCTTATCCACGATTGACGGCAATTTCGACCTTGTCTAGGCCTTTACATTAACCCCAGTGGAACTCAAACCTGAGTTGTGATGATGTTTTCTCATCTAGACTAGAGTAGACTGCAATGTTCGATCAGCACCACCAGTGAGTGCCAGGGTTCGAGTCCAGTTTGGGAGGCTGATGAGAATTTGGCTCGGTTGGAATTTCGGTCAAACCCGGCCGAGTTAAAAAAAAGTATTTCTAAGAGGCAAGTCGATGACATTGTAAGGTCTACTTTTATCATTGTGGAAGAATACTGCATTCAATCCTTCACTCCATGCGACCTAGGGAGACTGGAAATCTTAGTCAAGAATGTTTTGGGGCCTAATTCATATGGCTTTAAGTAATGTTGTCGATTATAATGGAAAAGTACACGTCTGTCCTGTGATGACACAGAGGCACTCGTGGCAATGTGTCATAGTTGTAGAATGGCGAAATTCCCGTGTTCTAGTGCCAGGAGCCAAATCGCCTGAGTGCTGGTAGGACCCAGGCGAGGTCGAAACTGCCGTTAAGGCCAGCCGGGAAAAGAATACCTTTTGAGAAGAAAGATCATGTGAAATTGAGATGAAGCGTAAGGCCTACTCATGTCATTGGGTGAAAATTCAATTATCAATCCTTCATTACCTCATGCGAACTC